TTCTGGTCGGTTATCTACTATTTCAACACCCATAACTTGCCGATCATCAGGTATCTGTTTGGGATTAATCTCGGGTGTCTGAGCCTTGCTCTTCTAAGGTTGTGTCACCGAGGTGATATAACAATGTCGGGCTACCTCCTGGTTGCCTCGCAGTGTTGCTATTCCCGTAGGAGTTGGGAACTTCATGCATAGATGAGACTGGGAAACCACGGCTCGGATCTCAGTCAGTGTAGGTCGGCCAATGACAGCGTTGAAAGAGGACGCCATCTTGACCACTAAAAACCTTACTGAATGGGTCACATAACTGCGGCCACTTCCAAAGGCAACATTCATGGTGAGGACTCCTTCAACTAGAACTGGTTGGTTGTTGAACCCATAGATGAGACCATCATACCGCTGCAACAGAGCTGGATCTATCCCAAGACTCTCAAAACAATGGAAGTACATGATGTCTGGTGCACTCCCGGTGTCAACAAGGACACGCTGCACCTCACAATTGTTGATTGTGACAGAAGTGACTAGAGGATTATTGTGAGGTGTGACAATTGTTTCAAGATCAGCAGACATGAAAGTGATGGGTTGATTCTTCCACTCAGCATCGTCAAATTTTCGTTTCTGAGCTCGGTTCTGATGCCTAACCTCTCTGACATACAGCTTCCGCTGCTTAGAGCTCAGTCCACCAGCTTCCAGACCTTCCGTAATCATGTGTATGACTCTAGCTGGTGGTGGGAGTGGGGGTGGGGCTTGCTGATATCCCACACCTTGTCTATTTGGGGGATTGCGGATTGCTTGATGCTGTGGCCCTTGTTCTCTGACAAACCTTGGCTGTTCCACTCTCTGGATATACTCATTCAACATTCCTTTCTGTGCCAGACTTTCCAGTTCGAACCTCAGACTATTACATTGCTCTGTTGTATGACCGTGATCTTGGTGAAAATCACAGTATCTAGTATGGTCTCTGGTAGCAGCAGCAGTTTTCATTGGACCCGGACGTCGTAAGTCCATTTTATTCTTAATCTGCATAAAAATTTGTGACCTCGGCAAATTAAAAGGAGTCCAATTAACTGGAGGTTTACCTGTAGGTTGTTGCGGAGGTGCTGAGTTCGGCCTTCCGAATCTCGGGGTGGAAGTCGACATCGGACCTCTGTTCTGTGTTGTCTTCATCCGTTTCCTGTTCGGATTCTCATCTCTCCAGTCCGGGTGTTGGCTCTTAATAGGAGTTAGGTGTTGCGACAGGGCGTATTCCTCAGCCGTTATGAATTTCAACGATCTATTGTTTACCTCACTGAAGGTGGTGGCAGGATGTTTAAGCAGACTGTCTCTGAATCTTTCATGGCCGAGACCCGAGATCACAGCTGTAATGCCCACTGCTTGGTCGAAAGAGTTAACCTCTAGCACTGCATCATTGAATCTGCTCATAAAATTCTTCAAAGACTCTCCGTCCCTCTGCCTAACCCGCATCAGCTCAGAAGTGGTTTTCCTGATCAGCCTTTTACTGGAAAACTTTGTGGCAAAAGCAGATGCCAGTTCTGTGTATGAGTTGATTGATCTCGGAGGCAGACTGTAGTACCAGGTTCGAGCATTACCTCGGAGAGTAGAGGGAAAGATTTTGCACATCAATGCGTCAGAGGCATTCTGGGCCTGCATGCAAGAGTAAAAAGCATGTAGATGATCATCGGGGTCCTTCGTCCCATCATAAGTTTCAAGATGTGGTATTCGGAAGCCAGCGGGGTAGGGTTCCAGTATAATATTGGTGTTGAGAGGGTGAGGTATGGAGTCAGCAGCAGGGTGTGGAGGTAGGATGCCTCGCTGTTCGACCACTAGCTTTTCTAAGCTATCTAAACGTCGAGTGACATCATCACGAGGGGGTTGCATAACTGGTGCGATGTGAGATTGGCCCTGAGATTCACTAACAGGGGGAGCATGTTGAACTGGGTCAGGATCTTGTGGTGGGGCTGGAGGCTACGGAGCAGGATTAAGTAGGTTGATGAGTGGATCACCAGGATTGTTCCGGGCTAATAACTGGGCCAGCACTAACTGAAAAACACCAAACTGCTGCTGCATGGCAGCGAGCTGAGTTGCGACTACGTCTTGGTTAGCAGTAGAGGCTGAGTTGCTAACCGAATTGTGTGGTTGATTTTCGTCTTCTCCTTCTGCATGGTCCACAGGAGGGACCGTATTTGGGATTGGGGGTGGGGGATGAGGCGGAAGGTTGCTGGGAACCTGACCTCGTCCAAGAGGCTGAGACGAGTTTCCACCTCGGGCTGACCTAGTTTTCACCATGATAAGAGCAACAAAAGAGCCTTTAGTTTAGTTTCCCACAGACGGCGCCAAAAATGTAACTGCACCAAACCGGAAGTCCTTCTTCAGTCCGTATCTGCACTCTAGATTGACCTGCAAAGCCCCGAGGTGGATCCTCGGGGTAGACACTCCGATGCTTAAGTCAACAATAATCGGGGTTACCTTTGAAGCGGAAAAACAAGGAGCTTAGGGTTGGTTTCAATTACCTTTTGGCGTGGCCCTTAAAAGGTATTTATATGTTCCGACGCGGAATCCACGCGGCATGCCAATCAAGATGCCAAGCAAGATATCCGGGATCCGATGTGTATCTCCAGGCAGTTATTTCGGGATCGGGAGATTGAGCTAAGCAAAATATCCGGGATGTGATATGTATCTCCAAGCAGTTATTTCGGTACCGGGAGATTGAGATATATCTAGATACAAGGATGTCCATCGTAACTGCCGTGTAGCTATTCTAGCGGGAAGCTCTGGACTTACACTTACAAAATCTAATTAAAATATTGTGATTCATTAACACTAAATACTTTATAATTTCAATCACAAACATTTAAATTAAGAAAAAAATAAAAAAGTTATAAATAATAATAAATTGATTAACAATAAAAATATGAAACGTAAAATATTTAAATTTCTTGAAAAATAAAGTTTTAATTTTATAATTATCTTGAAACATTATCAAGTAGTTTAATTCATTTTTTTAATGATGAAATTGCTCTTCCAAAAACATCTTTCACTAAGTTATTATGTTTATGTCATAACATCACATCTTTTAATATTTTTAGTTGCATTATCATTTCATTCATGATACTTGGGTAATTAGATCAAACATATCATAATTTCTTCTTCTTTCTCTAGAAATTAAGGAATATGAATTAATGGAAGAAGTTACCAATAAAAAAATTAATTAAGAATAATAAGTATAATATTTAAAAATAATAATAAAAAATAAAACAAATGGGTCAACCAGCAGGTTGACCATAACCCGACCCGTAACCCGTACGGATTGATAATACGGGTTATCTACGGGTTGCGAGTTAAGATATGTAGACCCTAACCTGTTTTTTACGGATTAGGTTAAGGTCGGGTTGACGGGTCGGGTGGATTTTTGCCAGGTCTAGTGAGGGTGCTTTAGACTTCTGACCAATATTTTAAAAATCAAACCAAATTGGTCATGCAAATTAGATTGATCCGGACTAATCTATAACTGGTCCTAATAATGGTTTGAGTTAAGGTACCAAATCACCAAAATACCTTAACAAAAACACCGAAATATTTTTTGTTACCCTTCTTATAGGAGTATTTACTTGCATCTATATTTAATACATTTGAGAATATATCACCTCTCTTTTTGCTTGATTGTGTATGTTTTGCTTCTGGAACTTTGTTTTGCCTTGACTTACGTGATGAAGATAAAAAATTTAGATTTTTTTTTTTGGTCCGTTGCTTATAACTATTACTCTATTAATCTATAACTACGATTGCTTAACTTTTCTATAGTGGTTGGATAATCTTTGCATAGATGCATTCTAACAGGAAAATCATAGATTATGGAAATAATTATTTCCTTATATTTGCATCAAATGGTCTATGTGAACATTTGAGTAATGAAATTATTTTTTTGATACTAATCCCCTGGTATTTGGAAACCATATTGGATTTTAATTAATTTAGAGTTGAGTTGGGTTAGACCCCATAAAGAGAAATCTTTTCTATAATCTATTTCTCCATTTATAAGATTTGAACTCGAAAACTTCATTAAGGGAAATTGAGCTCCTTTTAATCAAAAAAACTAGAACCAGCAGGTGGTTGGTTGAGTAATGAAATTATGAAAAGGTATAGTCTTGTGGAATTGAACCGTAAAAGCATGAAAGGAAAGTTTGGTATTTATTTTCGTATTTGGAATGAGCCATGAAATATCGTACACTGAAATACTAAAACCGAAAAAACCAATAAGTTTGGTTTGGTAATGGAATTGGAAATTAAATACTGAGAAGCAATGTTGGCAAATTCGTTTCATATCAGTCAGTATAATTGGTATGTATTGATCGATATGGTCGATATGTATCAGTGTTTTAGCTAAACTAAAATGGTATAGAGTCAAAATCCGTTTTGGTCAAATTCCAGTTTTTTCAGTAAAATTCTGGTGCATCGTCGATATTTTGCGTATCAGGCTGCTACATTGAAATTACACAGGGACAATTCAAATCTTAAAAAGAAACAAAGGTAAAAAGGCAAATCAGCCCCTGTACTCAGTGAATGGTGGCAAATCAGCCCCTAGACTAAAAACAAACACAAATCAAACCCCCAACAGATATGACAGTAAGGTGACATTTTTTGTCCTACATTAGTGTTGAGTGTACTAATTAGTAATTTATATTAAGATTTTTTTTAAAAGTGTATTTTTTAAAATATTTTTATTATTAATTTATATAAAAAATTAAAAAAATAAATTTTATTTTTAATATCAATATTATGTAAAGTACTTTAGTTAGATAGTTAATAAAATTAAAATAATTTTTTATATAATAATTACAATATATGTCTTAAACAGCATTACTTAAATTTATTAAATTTACAAAAATTAATTTTAAAAAATAAAACTTATCACTATCTAAAATGGCCAAAACAATAATTACTATAACATAAAAATTATTATTATACTGATAGCTTAGTGCCTTATATTCGCATAAGTTTTTTTTGTAAGTTCTTTACTTAAAATAGATCTAAGGAGAAGAAATTACCATATACTCACAACAAATTAGTGTAAATTTATAATTACTATCTATTTTATTTATTTAATCCTTCTATTTAATTTTAGTAAATCTAGTTTTTTAT